ACGATCCAACAACGATCGAGCAGAAGCAGCAGCGGCAGCAATCCAACAATCCTCTCTCAATCTGAACCTGGAGCAGGCTTTGGCTCTGGGTCTTGGCCATTTTTAGGTATCAACCAGCGCGATTGCGTCGGCACCGCACCGCAGACCCCAGGACACACAATGGACACTCTTATTCGAAAATAGGTGGCTTGATTTATTTGTCTGCAAATTCGCTTTCTCAAAAGGCATTTGGCTCTGTGCCGGGAAGGGAGATCGATCCCGAACTGCTGACCCAAACTATTCCCTACCAGTATTCCCAGTTTGAATATGACTATGAATTTGAGTGGAAATGTGAGTTTATTCATTCGATTTCACAGCGTATACTCTGAGGCATTGAGTCGATGCTCTCATAGCTGTGATTCTGTCTGCTTGTGACATTTATCGCTGCCATTTGCTGAAATCGATTCCTCCATTTGGAGAGGACCCCGAACCCCAACCCAGAGCTAGGAGAATGTCTTTCCTTGGTTTATTGACAAGCCCCCACCAGGCCATGCATCGAAGAAGCGTTCTACTAAATCTGTGCACTCAACTATGCCACGTAAATGTCGCAGCGCAGAAAAAAACGGAACAGAAACCAAGAAGAGAAACAAATCCCTTACAAAACTAAAGCCAAGAGACCAAACACCGAGAGCAAGTGTGCAAATTCCATTAAAAGAACATTTACAAATTTGGCAAAGATCAGCCCCAGCAATGGCAACACCAGCAACTGCCACACAAAAAAAAAAGAGTCCTCTATAAACTATCGCGACACCTCCGAATGGGGGCTAAGATCGAAAGACCTTGAGCACTCCACATCTCAGAGGCTTTTGCCTCTAAAAATAATGCCAGACAAACTACAACAAACAACCCACAGAGTGGCGCAACCACTGGTTGCTGCTGCAACAATGCAGTGCAACACAACAACAAGAACAAGGAGAACTTTTGTCTCCAACAGCGTTTTCCCTAACAACCCAAAGGTGATAAATAAAATTCTTTATATGCAATCTTTTAATGCAATTTACAATAAAATCAACATGGAGTTTAGTTGCTGGCGGTTGGCGGTTGGCGGTTGGCGGTTGTTGGTTGTCGGCTGTGCTCGCTCCGATGTTCTTTGCCACACGGCACTCGATTCTCTCGGACAGCAGCTTCTTCCTTTTGGGCCCTCGCTAAATAACAAGGGGGCACAGCTTGATTTGACATTAGCACAATCCCACAGATCACCTTCCCAAAATGGATTTTGCCGCCGTCGTTCGTCGTCGCCATCATTCCCGTAGCCAGAGCGTAGCCCTCGCTCTGCTGCTGCCTGAACTTTTGTGTGCAACAAGCAGCAGCAGCAGCAGCAGCCGCAGCAAACGGAAAAACGGAAATGGAGGCCCAGAGAACGCGATGATCATTGCGACCGGGCAATAAATACAGCATAGAAATGATGTACGGAAAACGATCGCAGCTGAAGCACCAGATTCAGCTTCAACTTCAGCTTTAGCCACAGCTTCAGTTCCACAAAGATCCTAGTTCTGCCTGCCTGCCTGCCAGACAGGCCCAGAAGACCCATGAAGAGACCCCCAGAGCCAACAGACACACACACACACACACACACACACAGCTCCTTCAGCCAGCAGCTCGACGGGGGTGCCTGGGTGCCGGCGATGACGCTGATGATGGCACAGTGGTAGCATTACAATGAGTAATTGATAGAGGCATTAAGCCCTTTATAGAAAACATCTATTCCTCAATGGGCAATTAGTTGGCCAAAGAATCGCATTCTCATTCCGAAAATAAACTTTACAGATTTTTATTCTTTTTGTCCGGTGGCTTCGAATTTGATGTGGAAATTTGTGTAATGTAATGGAAATTAGGAAATTTACTCATAAATATTTTAAAATTGCAGCGAATATGGATTTGGCATACATTTACTCATAGTTTGGTGTAAATTTACTCCGAAAAACAAGAAATTGTGTACTTAAGTAAGTTAATTCACTATAAAAAGCACGGATTTGAATTTAATTGTACTCCTAATACTCCGAATTTACTCCGAAAAATTCTGAATGTAGCTTAGGACAACATAATTCATTTATATTTACTCTAAAATTACTCCGAATTTACCCCGAACTCACACCGAACGTACTCCGAATTTAATTTCATTTAAATTTCCCCAAAGTGCCATTATTTTGTATTGAATTAAACTGAAATGTTCTTTATTTTCAGTCCCTCACACCCACTGTGTTTGCAAAAAGAGTCTGGCAGCTGCCTAGATGCGGATGCTTGGGGCTGCCGCTGCCGCTGATGCTCGTTTGGGCTACCACTTTGCGTCTGGTGCTGCCGCACCGCTCCGCTGATGGTTGGTGCTGCCTGCCACTGCCACTGCCGCTGCTGACGCTGGCAAGGCTGGCAAGGCTGGCGCGGCATTATTAATGATAAATGTGGCTTGCACTCATGATAAATACAGAGAATCGTTGAAAGGTATAAATCAATAATAGAGAAGTTTGTTTGCAGTTAGGAGTCGCAGGATGGTGCAGTGATTTCACAGGGGGGAGAGAGCAAGCAAAGAAAATGGAAGAGGGAACCAGCCTGCAGACAATGAGTATGCCAAAACATAATTCAAGTTAAAGGTAAAGGTCTTCGTGTGGAAGCCGGCACCGGGATCTGATTAGCGCGGCTCAGGAGGAGACCTCGTTGCTGCTGCTGCTGCTGCTGCTGCTGGAACTGCAATTGCAATTGGATGCGCCTGTCCCCGATTGAAACTGTCGGGTACTTCTGCTGCTTCAGCGGCTGTGGCTGCTGCTGCTGCTGCTCCACAAAATCATGTTCATTAATTGACTAATTAATCGATGGTTAGGTTGCGGGCCCTTCATCAAACAGAGACATAACAGGGTATGGCAGCGCGATTATCAATAACAATTAGCCGACGCCCGAGACCATCACTTTTGCGCCTGTGACTGGAGACTGGGGACCCATCGATGGGCCTGTCAAATAAATGTGGCCCCTGTCTGTGGCTTAATCTTGGAACGGCAACGGCAACGGCAACGGCGACGCCGAGTGCGAGTGCAACTGCAACTGCAAGTTGCATTTGAATGCACGAGTTACGCATCCATCAAATGTCAATTGTTTGTCTTGGCTTGGCGCTCTCTGGCTTGGTCGTCGAGTCTTTCATCCTTCACAGACAGCAGCATCAGGCATCTCCATCTCCCCGTCCGAACAGCTTTGGCGCATTTCTCATAAATCATTCGAAAGGCTCTCTGGCGGGCATTGCATCAGAGACAACGTCCACGATGTCTTGTCAGAAGGAGCTCCTCCTTCTTCATCTGCGATGCGACGCAATGCGATGCCCATCCATGGCATCGAACTTGTCTAGCACCGAAGGCCCATCCCATCCCATCCCACCCCAGCCCGGTCCGGGGTGAGTGAGTGTTCTGCGACAAGCCACGTCTTGAATTAGTTGGCAGTCGAAAGGCATTAAGGATAAGGAATGCACAGAGCGCGAAGGCTCCCAGAATCTAAAGTTTTAATTTTGAATAAAAGTTGAACGAGAGAGAATAAAGTGGACGAATATGTTCTGTTCCCCGTTCTATTCTATTCTGTTCTGCTCTGCGGCACTTTGTTCCCATTTAAGTTATTAATAGAGGAACTCCCGCCGTACTCCTCTTTAACGCTTGTCCCTCTCTCTTTGACCTTAGAACTGAGCACTCTATGGAGAGATTCTACATGAAGTTGAGGGCAAAACTTTTGCCACAACACTCGTAAAACAGGTGCACTCTAGGGGAGGTCTGCCCCATTCCCACTCCCACTCCCACTCCTATTCCCATTCCAATCTGTTCGACGGCGCAGACCTGTCTGACCCCCGGCTTTGACCGGCGCTTGGATGCGGGGGCGACCGCCTCTGAACCCCGTTAATGTGCTGGCGATTTTAGTTATGGCCAAGTCGCCACCAGCTGGGGAGTTGAGTTGACCAGGCGCCAGGTGCCTGCCGTGCCGTTCCGTGCTGCGTTCTGTATCCTTTGTGCCCCCGTTGATAATTTAAAGCCAACGACCTGAAAGGCTTAAAGGCAACATTTCCTCCATTCCACTCTTTTGGCAACATGAATATTCATTTCAATTGTGGCAACTGCAACATCAGCAGCGGCTTATGGTACTTTCTTTCACCCAAAAGAGTTGATGGTGCTCAGTGGCAGTGGCAGTGGCACTGAAACTGCGCTGCCTGCTGGTGGGGGTACAACGACCCACATAAATCATTCACAATTAGATGCGGACGCAACTGCGGCATCGGCTTAAACACCTGACCGACTTGCCACCGAAACATTCACGAGTTAAGTGAGTGCAACAGCGAGTGGAGTTCAGCTGCTTGAGTGTTTCACTCACAAATATTTACCCGGCATTTCAATTCCAACAAAAAGTAAATCCTCAAACGGAATGTTTCACCCCCCAAAACACTCACAACATAAACGAAACTGAGTGTGACTCGAGTGTCGAGTGTGAGTCGGAGTGAATGTTTGAGTGTTCCAATTGCCATTACGTTCCGTCGTAGCATTTTTGTGGCATCCACGAACCTGTTCCCCGTGCGTGCCATTCGTACTTGAGACCGCGAAGACGTTGCCAACCGAAAGCGGACCGAAACAAACGTATTTGATACCAAAAAAAAAGAACAAAAAAAATAAATACAACAAAAACAACAACAATACTCGTAGTTTGGATATGGAATATGCTTCTACGACGATCTAGATCTATTCGAGTATTTAGTACGGTGCTTCTGTGATTTTTGTGTGTGTTTGGTTTGTGATCGATCGTTCGATCAATTTCGGTTTTTTGTGATCTCTGTTTCGGGGTGGCAGTTCGATTCGATTCCGAGTTCCCTTAACGCCAGATATACCAGTGAATTTCGCGTTAATTGAGCTGTACGTACAGCTGTAGTACAAATTTGCATAACCAGGAGAGTGCAACAGAGCGCAGGAGGAGGAATATTCAGAGACGGAGAGCGACAGAGAGAGGAGCATAGCCATAAACAAATCTCGCTTGAGCGTCTTGGTTCACTGATTTAATGCCACAAACAGATTGCAGATTGTAACCTGCAGCCGCGCCCCTCTGCAGCAACCATCTTCAGCTCCAGCTCCAGCTACAGCTCCAGCCCCAGCACCGACTCCCATCTGCAGCCACCAGCCACCAGCCACCACCTTCCACCTCCACCTCGAACTCCTGCCGCTGCTGCTGCTTCTTGGTCAACCTGCTCTTGCTTGGAAGCTTGTTTCTGCGGAAGAGCAGCCGCCGCGCCGGTGGAGCGCCAGACCCGGCACAACAACAACAACAACAACAACAAAAAGACAAAAAGGAGGAGAGTACAAAAAAGAGGAGAAATACACTACACAACTACAACAACTTTGCTGTTTGTCGTCGTCGTAGTCGTCGTCGTCGTCGCGTCTTGGCCATCGTCTTCGTCTTTGGCCGAAAGAATTTTCTTAAAAAAAAAGCAAAAAATACAACAACAACGCTCCAAGATTTACAACGCGCGGAACCCAAAGGCACAAAAAGTGTAAAAGGCAAGGCAAATGCAGCAGAGGAAAAAAAATTAGCGCATAGTGAAGTGTATCTCTGTGTGTCCCCCCGCCCCACCATCCGTGTGTGAGTGTGTCCCGTGTGTGTGTGTGTGCGAGTGTGTTGCAAGCAACTAAAAGAAAAAGTTTGAAAAGTGTCAAGCAGCAGCCCGGAAAGCTGCAAGCGGCAAGCGGCTCTCCTCGCTCTGTTCTGTTCGGTTCGGTTCGGTTCGGCCAATAACCCAACGACATTTTGTGGCAGGCATGCAATGCGGCGTGGCGACCCCAACGGGCCAGCCTGCGAGTTAATTACCGTTATCCTTGCACAGCAACAACAACAACAACACAAACAACAACTAAACGGTACTCAAGTTGTGGATTACGATTACACCCCGCTGTTGCCCCGCTGTGTGAAAGGACAACCACAACGACATCGACAGAGACAGAGACAACCCCATACGCATCTGCAGCCCCAGCAGCAATCCCAGCACCAGCCACAGTCGCAGCCTCATCCCATACGCAGACAAGGCCAAGTCGTCGTCGTCAAGCAAACATTCCAATCGGAAACGGGCTAATTGGCACACTGCGAATCTCAAAACGAGGTGAGTTCTGCGAGTTGCAATCGAACGAGGGCTATGTTGAATGTACGCCACTGTACGGGAAACTCTTTGATTACTTGGGAAACTCTTTCAAAAGTAAACCTAGAAGAGTAGTTCGATAATTGCCTCAATGTCTACGCTATCATATCGAAATTCCCTGAAAATTGAGGGTTGGATTTTCATTTCTAAAGAGTTTCTTACAAGAGTGTTCCGCCATTTAATGATATAAATTATAGAAAATCGTAAAACAAGTGCTAATATTCATGTTGATGATTTTCTTCATATACGTGCTTCACCTCGAAGGTTGTTTTTCTAGAAACAGATTGTTTCGCAATGTGTGGATATCCAGAATATGAAGGTCCAGTATAAGGTCCGTTTATGGGTGGATGCGGGCGCAGATTGTGTGGATATGGAGATTGATTCATACCATATCCGGGTACTGATGGATTGGGATATGGAGGTGCCTGCCGTACAGGTGGTCGTGGTACATGTGCAGATATAGTTGGATATGCATATGGATTTGGATATTGCAAAGGTCCATTTATGGGTGGGTTGGAATACGCAGGAGCCTGTCGCATAGGTGGACCGGGTACAGGACCGGGTGCATATTGATTTGGATACTTAAAAGGAGTCATGCCATGTCCGGGTACAGAATGATTTGGAAATGGAGGAGCTTGAAACATAGGTGGCAGTGGTATTGCAGGTCCAGGTACTGAATGCTTTGGATATTGAGGCGGGCCGGGCACAGATGGATTGAGGTACGGATAAGGGTTCATTCCATGTCCGGGTACAGATGGAGGATTGAGGTACGGATAAGGATTCATTCCATGTCCGGGTACAGATGGAACTGCATATTGCGAAGGTCTGTTTACTGGTAAATTTGAATTCGGAGGAGGTGGTCGCAAAGTTGAGCCGGGTAGAGGTACATAATGACTTGGCTGTAAAAAAGGATTCGTCGCAGGACCGGGGATATATTGACGTGGAAATTGAGGCGGCTGCCACATAGGTGGTCTGATTTGAGGTGCAGATTGACTTGGATACGTTGAAGGAACCATCCAAGGCACAGGTATAGATGGATTTGGATATGGCGGAGGTCTGTTTGTTGGTGGATTAGAATGCGGAGGAGCCAGCCGCGTAGGTGGGTGGTATACAGGTGGATTCGGGGAAGATTGCTGACTGGATGTTGTCTGATTTGGGGACACGACCGAGGCCTGGGCCACGTGCTCGTTTTTGCCATCGGACTGAGAGCTCTGGCTGACGATTAAAACCTCGCCACTTGTGCTGGGCGCTTGCTTCACATCCTCCAGTGTGCCAATTGGGCCTTGTCCCGTTTTGCTCTCAGTATTCAGTCCGGGTATATTCGATTCGGCACTGCCTCTCGGTCTGTTCATGTTGATTGTCGAAGTGTTTACGGATATGCTTCCCTGTGCAGTTATGGGCGGTGGAGCGTAGTTTGGATGCGAAGAAGGTCTTGGTGGAGGTCTGCTTATAGCTGGCTGTGGCGCCAGTCGAGTAATCATCAAAGGACGGCGTACAGGTGGCTTTTGAGGTATGATTATTGGGTGATACGACAGAGGCGCGGGTTTATATGGGTTCTGATTTGTATATGACTTTGGAGGAGACTGCCATCCAGTGTCGTCGGATTCGACATGTAGCCGGTAGACTTGTCGCTCAAAGGCCATCGCCCACATGCAACAGATGATGAGCGGCAGCCACAGGACCAGCCACTTCATTTTATCCAATTCGTATATCCGTGTCTGCCTGCTCGAGAATTTGCAAATCAACTGAGAAAACCCTCTCTAAAGGTCGCCTGACATTTTGCATGCTTCAACTGCCACGCTCCGTTTTCATACATGCAATTTTACGGATCGTCGAGTATATCTAATCTATTTAGCATAACGCAACCGATTATTCACCACACTCGCAAGGCAGCGTCGTCAGTGGCTTTGATCTCTGGTCGGGGCCACATGAAAGTTGGGCTCAAAGCTTGCGGCGGCGGCCGATTTCAGGGAAGTCCACTTAAACAGACAGAGCCCCAAAACCCACCGAAAAGAAACTCCACATGTGCAGCCACAGACTGACAGAGAGAGCACTTCAATCCACACAGACTGCATGACTCCTATATGGAAGACTCTCTCCCTGTCTCCCTCCCTGATTGTCTTTCAATTTCCATTAGACAGAAAGCTGGTTCTGGTTCTCTCTCTGTCTTCAAAGTCTGTCTGTGGCTCGTGGAAAAAGTGAATTTATGTCGAGCCGCTAAACAATTGATGCTGAAAAATGATGGCAATGACAAAGTGATTACTGGCCTGCCATAGAAAGCGAACCAAAGATTCCGAAACGGGACTTGCAGTGGAAACTCTTTCGAGTTGATGGTAAACGGGGGAACAACAACTCGTACAAGCAATCGAAGTTCAAGTTGAAAAATAACATTTTCAATTTTCAATTGAGGCGATAACTCCACACACACACACACACACACACACACAGTCCGGGCATAGTTTTTGTTGTTGTTGTGTGTTTCGGGAGGGAGCCTCTGTGGCAGCTTCTGAGAGGGAAAAGTGAAATGCTCGTTGCAGACAAAAAAAAGTGAGGGATTTCATCATTAATCATTTAGTTTGTTGTTCTTACAAACGCAACTGAAAAATCTACCTATTTATACTGCCTTACATATAATCGTACATATATGTATGTATTTATGTACACTCGTAATCATCTTGACTTTCAGGCCTTACCTTCATTTTCTGTTCTGTTCTCGAGAGCACTGACTGGGGGAACGTGCCCCGACGTTCTTGATTTGAATCTTTCTTTTGCTACTCCTCCTGCACCCCTCCCCTCTCTCTCTCTCTATCTGTTTGATATTTGGTAAATTGCTCATCGTCATGCTTTTATGATTTGGTATTTATTTTCTGTTGGTATTTTTGGAGAATTTGATGAGCTTCTCTTGATAAGCCCCAAAAGCGCCCTCCGCTCCATGCATTGCCTCAACTTATTGTGTTGTACCTTTGCTGCCAGACTAATGGCTGTGTGTGTGTGAGAGTAGGTGTGTCTACCAAAAGCCCATCCCCAAAAATAAAAGAATATCAGCCATACAAAGTATCTGCATCCACACAGTATCCAGAGAACAGAAGAACATTTTTTTGTTATTTTGAAAGCATCAAAAAATGTACAAAGTTTTCGGAAACAAAACAGAGAGAAATGTTCTCTATGGCAGTTGGTGCGTTTTGTATGCTCTTTTATGGTAGGGTTTTGAGTGGGATACATAGTGGCAGAAGAGCGAAAATAAATTTGCCATTCATTTCTATTGTAATAAATCGAAGAAAATATATTTTATTGTGGTTAAACCATTCTCATACTCATCTCATCTCTTATTTTCTTTCATAGTTATAATCCTTACACTGTTCTATCTTTTAGATTCTAAACTCCTTCCAATTAAGCGACCACAACTCTCTCTCGCTCTGTGGGAATCCCTCGTTAGGGTATCCAATACCAAACTGAACAAACTTTTTTCTCAACATCAGGAAATGCTGGCGCATCAAACTTTTTAACGAGAGATTCCAGAACCAGCATTGCCCCTCCTCCACCCCACACCCACTTCCATCCGTTTCCCCCCCTTGTTGCAATAATTTCATTTGGCTGTACAGTTTATTATATAATTTTTGTCCCTTTTTGACTTTTATCTTACGTTTATTATGCCCCATGGAATTTTCCGATTTGCAGACGCTGCCCAACGCCAGCGACAACCCTCCCCCGAGCGACTGGAGGTCAATGTCTTCCTCGAGACACACTCGAAGACAACGCAGCACATCCTTCTATGGCTTAGTCCTGAGTCCTTCCCCATCTTTAAGAGTTGTAATAACTTTTGCACAACTTTTCGCTTATACATTTTGTTAGCCCCCCCCCACCCTCCTGATGTCTCTCTTTGCAGCTCTCCCTTCCCGTTTGCTATCATTTCTATATCTATCTCTCTCTCTCTCTGTACCGACAGCAGCAGCAGCTGGTAGGGGAGTGACGAGGGGGCAGGCGTGTGGCAAAGTGCTAAAATGCCTTGACGCATTCTTTTGCACTTCTTCCTTCGAGCAGCTGTCCAAATGTCAGACTCACTTCCCCATTCCCATGAATACACAGATCCATTGCCATGCCACATCGGAGGGAGATGCCTCCCCTCCCTTTCTTCTTTGCTCCAAACGAACACGAAACGTTGACTTGTAATAATCATAATCGTAAATTTGCAAAAAGCCTGCCCCAGAGCCAAGGCTCCCGTGTCCCGTGTCCCGTGTGTCCTGTGCGTCCTGTGCGTCCTGTGGCTGAGCGCAAGAAATAAAGAAAGAAAAACCTAGCAAGCGGAGTACGGACCATCCTTGGGGGCCGTTTAGCGTTTTGCGCGGCTCTTGGAAATGCCTCAAGATGGGGCGTGGTCGCCTGGGCCTGGGCCTGGGCGTAGGCGTAGGCCGGGCCGTACCACGCTGTGTGGTGCCTCGTGTTTGTAGGCGTCATCATCATTATTATGGCCTGTTTTATTTATTTTTCCTCTCTCGTTTGGCCTAACAAGTGCGTGGGGCAGCAGCAGAAGCACAAGGAGCAGCTGATGGAGCCCAAGGAGGAGCACGGAGCAGGCGGAGCTGACTGTCCATCGTCTCGCTCTTTGGAGAAAGGCATTTAAAAAGTTTTCTAAACTTCATTTTGAAGTTTTATTACCAGCGCGAAATAAAGCGCAAAGCATTTTCGTTCTTCCTTTTTCTATTTTTCCCTCTAGTGAGTTTTTATTTTCTTTTCGTTTTTTGTTGGTTTTTGCGTGGAAATTTGCTCTATTAAAATTCCAAGACACAGTTATGCCGCGGCAGGCAGTGTTAGTCCTTCGTTTTGTCGGAAGCGAAGCTGCTCCTTCAGTGCACCAGATGCCACGGATGCCACACTCTCTGTGCGCTGCAGCAGCAGATGGTGGCGGGGTGGCATGGAAGGAGTGGCAGTGGCAACGGAGGAACCATCAGTTATGCAGGTTGCAG